TGCTCCCTCAGGGCGGGCGGCCGCGGGGGCGGGGCGCGGAGGCGGCCTGTTGCTGCCCGGACGCCTGGGCCCGCTGCCCGTGGGGGAGGGGCCGGGGCCCTGCGGGGCAGAAACGCTGTTTAGCTGAAAAGCGACGTTTTTTGTGCTTATCCGCTCCTGGGGTGGTGGCCGTCCTGCCGGCTTTGCCCTAGAAGGCGTGTGTTGTGCTTAATAAAAGCTGAAAGTGTTTTGCTTAATTATCTGACATCTGGTATAAATTAAGGAATTAAGAGTGAGCAGGAAGCCAAGGAAAATGTAGCTGACTCTTGATTCCGAAGTAATTTGTACTGCTACTGCACCGTTTGTGAATGCCCTGTGCTGTCTTCTCTGCAGCTGTCCCCGGTAAGGAATTTACTGTCTGAAATGTTTCTGTTTGAGCATTTGCCCTGCTTCTCTGCTCTTAGACATGTTCTCTCCTGTGTTATGACCTTGCTATGTGTTTGGGTTCTCTAAATGTTTAGTGCTGCGTATATGCGACCCGTTGTGCTGTGGTCTGTGGGTGCTGAGCGTGTGTCAAGTCCACAAGGTCCTCAGTCCCCACAACCCCTTTTGGATCCCAAACAGAGGAAGTGTAATTTCATTGTTAATTAAAACTTAACGGATTAAAGCTTAGCTACCTTAATTGCATTAGTTAAACACCTTGGTGATTGAATTGGCTAACGCCTCTATTAAGTTAGTGTTTCTCGAGTAGGCTGTAAGCTGATGTAAATCATATATATCTGTAAGCCAAAGTAATCAATGTTTTGTAATAACAAGCGATAATAAATAGGTTGTTATATTTTTTTTGAATAGGTTGCAAATGAAAATTACTATTTTCTAGTTCTGTACAGCCTCCACACCACTACTTTCCAGAGCAGAAACTGGAACGGTTCAGGTTATTTGGTGTTTGGTGAATTATCTGTCTAGGCATTTAGATTGCTAAGTGGGCTGATGAGAAATAAACACAGAGTTTGTGTGAATCTTCACAGTACAGTGAAGAAACTCCTGTCTTTAGGAATCAGGCAAAACTTTAGATATGATCGAATGAACTTTTTATAATGACATAGAACACAGAGTAAGCAAATGATATCCTCATTACATGAACATAGACCATAAAGTTTAGCAAACTAAAATTCACGTTACTAAATTGGCAAGTATTTTGTCTGAAAGGGAGTACCTGTGTTATATACCAGGCCAGCAGTTAGAAACCCTTTTCTGCTAAAATCTTCTGTATTAGAAAGTGTCCCTAGTAAAAATACATTGGTAAGTTTTCTGCTTGTGGATGTGTATTTATCTGTGTGTAGACAAACGGCGATGTTTGTCTTTTGCTATGTCAGCACGCTCAGTCCATTCAGTATCAGTGGTGCTCTCTATTTTTTTTTTTTTTTTTTGCTTAGTATAACACTTTTGAAACGGCATTTTGAGAAGGTGTAAAGTGTTACTGGTGTCTGACAAAATACTAGTTTTGCTTATGTGATGGATTGCTTATATTTCTTATAGCATTTATGCTGTCCTTTACAATGTTCTTTGCTCATCACTGACTGCAGTGTTTAGACTGTTTTGTTTATTTTTCCTCGAGTAATTTCAAGTATTGTGATCTTTGATAGAACTAAGGTATTGGAAGAAATCCTAAGTATAATAGAGAGGAGTATTCATGTTAGTTGAGCTGGGAATATTTTTAGAGGTTGTCAGCTCTATGGTTCTGATATGAATTTTACTGCATGATCACTTTCTTTTCCTGCGAAGTAGAACTGATTGTTACCTTATTGTGTTGCTGAAGGTGACTTAAGATGAGATTTCTTAAAAACATCTGTTCATCTGTACAGTGATATGGAACAGGAGCACTCCCATGGCCAGTTGTGGATAATGGTAGCTTGCTAGACTGCACTAGCTTTTTTATTTGTAAAGCTGCATTTGATAATATTGAAGTTTCCATCAGTTAACTTGTGAACAACAAATGTTCATGTAGAGATCCAATTATTTTCCAGCCCTACAATATCAGAATACTCTAAGCCTCTTTAAAGTTGCCGGTACTGGGAAAGAAGAATCTAAGAAGGCAAAACCATGAGGACATCAAATAAAAAAATGGCAAAGTGAGTATTATGTAATTATTAAACAGGTGCTTTGATTTTTATTAACAGTCATCTCATGACTTCCAACTACTTCACATGCATTGATGAATATTTGAAACACCTCGGGCAGGAAGGAGGTGTCCTAAATCTTGGCTTCTTTCTTTATCATACCATGGATTTCTCTCTATTAAGTTGCCCAAACTGTTTCATTTCAAGCCTGAAGGAAACTTGAAGGAGGGAGAGCACACAGACTTTTTTTTAATATTAAAAGCTGTTTGTGCAATCATTGCAGATTTTGGTTCTTTTTGGGGCTAAATTGCATATTCATTAGTTTTGCATAAGAGAAATACTGAACAGTGAAAGGAGGAATGAAAAGCAACGTTCTAGCCTAGAGAGAGAGAGAAATGGCTGTAGGATCCTTCAAGCTGATCTTTTATGTCATTCATCTCTGTTGTATTGTTCGTGTTGTTAGAGTTTTGTCTTGTGTAGTTTTGTTTGCCTTTTTTTTTTTTTCTCTTATTAGAAGACTGTTACATGTATGCTCAAATCATCTATCATTTTCTTACAGAACTAGCCCTAAACTTCGAGTTAGGCAACTGTACTACTGATATCCTTAGATACATGTTAACTTAGAACAAACCTGAGCAATTAGATGAGCTTGAAAAGCCTAATCTGTTCTAGTGGTGCATTTGGTCGGTGTCACCATCACTTCCGTGAATGAGTCCCTGCCATCTATCAGAGTATGTGTGTACATAACTTACTGTGACACTACGATTAACTTGATGCCAACTTTTATGTTTCTTTAAAGTTCCATTTCAAACGATTCCCCTAATCCAGTGGAAAGGGAAACCGATGAGGTGGTTCTAAGGAGAAGGCAAAAACAGATTAATTTTGGAAAGAACACGCTTGCCTATGACAGATACATTAAAGAAGTTCCAAAGTAAGTTGCACTGAATGTTGCAAATTTCTGCGTAAATCCTTATCTCCTGACTAAATGTAAAACAGACTGTGACTTTAGTTCACTTAAAATAATGACAATAAATGAATGAAACTTCTGCACTAAAGCAACTTTAAAGCTCAATGTGGTGCTTAAGCACTGTTAGTACTGTCATGTTTCGCAGTAAGCATGTTTTAAATAAATTCTTCCTTGTTCGGTTCCCTGTGAAGTTTTCGGTAACTGTGCTGCTAGGCTGGTATGAAGTTAATTTATGTTGGGAAGTGATTGTTTTGAATGAAGTTTGAATCAAACAGCACCTACTCCAGGATGGTATGGCTATAACAACAGGATTATTTGGTACCGGAGATACAGTTTTAGTGACTCTCCAGCTATTGTTAGTTGTTGCTCATATGTTTCTCTTTTGAACAACTAAAATAGATATACTCTAAAACCTTAAAGTTTTAACAGAGTGTTTTATATATTGAGCAAGGATCAGTGGACTAATCTGATAGACTGAGGATTCTTTTGAAGAAAGAAAATAATATCCTGAAATGTAACTTGCAGTGCGCTTTGTTTGTTTTTCAGGAATCAACGAATACCAGGAGTTCACCCTAGAACTCCTAATAAATTTAAGAAGTACAGCCGAAGATCGTGGGACCAGCAGATCAGGCTGTGGAAGATAGCACTGCATGCCTGGGATCCTCCTGAAGAAGAAACCTGGGATCTGCAGCCAGTGTGTGTATGGGTGAATTAGTTGGCACTGCTCTGTTGCTTCAAAACACAGTTCTGTATTTCCTCTGGAACATTCCTTACTTTGGAGCAAGACAAGGAATGGGGCTCAGGCTTAGAAAAGGGGGTCATATTCAGTCTTCTGATCTGCTGAGTTTTAAAAGGATTTTATATCTTCTGGAGAAGATAGTGGCAACTGTATTCATGTTGGAAAGGCTTTAAATTTTTTAAAAAAACCTTTCAAGTTTCTGCAACAGTGCCAGCTTCAATAACTAACACCTAATATTTAACAAAATTTGGAATAATAAATTGGGAGGAGAAGGTTGAATTGAATTCTTAGCACTGTGCCAATAGCTTTAGCTGTTTTGTCCTCTGTGGTGGAAGTTGTGACCATTTGCACCATCTGTGTACTGTATGAAATCTATTAACTGCTGCAGATCAGCTCTCTTGTGATGGGAGGGATAAGCTAGGCAGGTAGTATTTAATTTTCTCTTTTTTTTTTTTTTTTTTTTTTCGGCTCCTATTTTCAGTAGTACAGAACCTTCAAGTAGTTCCCAAGAATGGGTCTACAAAGATGAGGATGATTCTGACTGCCCAGTGTTTGATGAAAAGCAGAAGAGAAATGAGTGTGAAGATCAGTGCAAACAGACAGATTATGCACCAGAGAGGTATGAAATGAAGTTTTGTGATAGTGCATATTGCTAGTGGTTTGTTTGTTTTGTTTTCTTGGGGAGAGGAGAAATGTTTAATGAGGGAGCAGTTATTCTTCTGTCTCCCCTGGCACTTCCACTACTGAATATAATCTGTCTTTGGTCCGAGGCACTGAATGTGCAAAAGTACCAGCATTGCAGATCTGCATCATTAATAGTACAAAATGTTCTTCCTGCTTGTCTGTTTATATAGTAGTGACGTGTCTTTAACCAAAGTTGGCAAATGCTGAAAATAGGGTATCTTCTTTGGAAGCAAGACTGTCAATCCTAAATAAAGGGGCTATGTATATGGGGCTGGATGTGTCTCTGCTTCCAAGCTCAGCAGAGTTTTGCTGGCAGTTATGAAAATAGAGTTTTCAGAATACAGTCAGGTGTTCACAAAATTTGAATGTTTTCTGAGATGTTGCTTTTGCTGTAACTTGTGAGTCTTGCTTCAGGGAAAAAGCTCCTTGTGTTGTATGTGCCCTTATTTTGCAGAACTGTGATAGGAATTTAGACACAGATGATGGAAGTAAGTTTTGTATGTAAAATCCTTGTATTGCTTTTGCAGCCCCTGTTCTCCTGATTCTTCTCCAGTATGGAAACGCAGAAAACGAAACAGTCCTAACCCCTTTGCAGGCTTAAAGGGCGAAAACCATTATGTGCATATGTGCCACACACTGGAAGGGTATGAAAGGGGTCTCTGTATGGGAGATCCCATTTTGAACTGGCTTTTGGAATATTGCTGAGATTTAGTGCTTTTTCCAACTCCTCTATTGCTTAATAGCTTTAGTCTAAATGTATTTACATTCTAATGAGGAAAGGAAATCATGCTGGGATAACCGCAGTGACAAATGTTTACAAAGATCAAGGAAATCTTTTTTTTTTTTTTTTTTTTTCTTCCTCCCCTGCTAACTGCAGCATAAAAAGTCATCCTGTAAATGGGAAATGACAGATTAACTACGTTGAAGAGGCACAGTTTAATTGTATACATAATGCTGTCAGGATCACGAAACTGGAACAATGTTCTGGGAGGATTAATTGCCTTTTGTTAAGTAGCTTAGCAAAAGTATTCATATAGGTGTGTTTTTCTCCACGCTGGCATTTCCCGTAATTCTTCTGAGGAGATGAGAGCTAAATATGAGGAACAAAAAGCTCAGTAGTTTTAGACCTCCTTTCTTTCTTTCTAGTCTTACTGAATCAGGACACCAGGAAGCTTTTTCAAGGTGTTCAGAGTGGGGAACCTCATGTGAAAGTGGTGAAATAATGACAATACAGCATGGTATAGAAGTAAGGTAAATACTGTAATAGTAATAATCTCTGTAATGCTTGTTCTGTGAAGCTGCCCTTGGCTTTTTTAACCCTTCCGGTGTGTGTGGGGTGTGTGTTTTGTACTGCTTTCCCCTGTCCCCAATGCTTCCTGCTGGTTTGTTTGGTTATATTTGAGACTAGTCAAGTAGTTGAGGAACAATATGATTCCCTTCTATTTTTTTCTGCAGCTTCTGCTTTTAGCTAATCCTGCAAGATGCTGCGCTGCTTTTACATTTTCTTGTCTTAGGGAAAGCTTTTCCCAGTGACTGCTCATGCCTCTTACTTGCTAAGCCTTAGCACCTGAAAACTTCTTGTCTTTGTTTCCTCAGAGATGAAGCTGTTTTGTAGCTGACTACAGAGGTGGTTATTTGTTTTTATGCAGTGACCAGGTTCCAGCCAGTTGTTCTTCTGCACGGAATGATCAGAAAGAGAAAAAATCCGGCCTTTTGCAGGACAGCAATATGTACAGAGACTCAGACTGCAGGCTTGAGAGGTATAAAAGCCTGTATATTAAGGCTTTTTTACATATTAGAAGTGTGTCATCTTATTACTGTATTTCAAACCAAAATTTTATTAGACGTATGTATCTCTGCTGTTCTCATCAGGGATGTTTTTGCCTGTATTTGCTCTGTGATAAAATTTTGTCTTTAATGTTTGTCTTTAATGTCATTGCAAACTATAGGCAGCCTTATAAAATATAGTTACAAGGTGTTGATTTAGTACAGTGTATTTTTATATAAAAGGTTATCATCACAAATTCAACTGCTGGGTTGTTGAATGGAACTAGAGATATAAGAGGAATATATATATATGCATATATATTTTATTTGTAGGCTTAAACTTTGCAGCAGTTTATTGGAAGGACATCAGTCAGAATACCCTGAGAGGGAATGGGGAAATGCAGGTGTTGAAGATGAGATAATAAGGAAAAAAATCTAAATTGCAAGGTTAGTTCATGATGTGTATTTACTTGATCTATTCTGTTTCAGTAGCCCATCAACACAATCCAATTCTTCATAATCAGTTCAAGCAGATCAGAGCTTCTCTTACTCCTTTATTTCGTAGTCAGTATTTCTTCTCATCTTCTTGCCTTTAATGTATAACTTCTTTTAATTAGGCACTACTTCTTAGTAAAATGAAATGTTTATCTGTTCAACCAGCAAGCATAATATTTACTATTTTATAACACTATTTTTTTAAGTTATTTCAGGAGCAGATTTTCTGCCTTGAATGTTTTGTAGTGAAGTCACAACTTTGCATTTGCAGTAATACTTAATTAAATTACTTTGGGAACAATTAAAAATTATTCAGATTCCTTTGATCCGTTTTAAGGATAGTGTTTTGAGTCAAATATCCTTTATTGACAAAGGTAATCTTTTATGTGATTGAATTCAATCTTTGATCCAATTCAGATTCTGAAATATTGTGGGTATGTTTTGAATGTTTTTTCAACAGTCATTGTGGAATAATAAAGTCAAGTAAAAATTTTGCACAGAACTAGTATTATACTAGGTAAGTTTTGTCAAATGCTAGTGGAAATAAAAGGAAAGGTGGGACTTTACTAAAAAATTATATTAATAGCAGTCTTTGTTAGCTTCGTTGATAACCCTTTTAAACTAAATTCTTTATTAGTATGAGTAAGACAATATGGGTTATTTTTCCAAGTATTAATTCAATATTTGAAAATATCCAGTCTTTCTTTGTATATAGAAGTATCAAAGGAGAGATTTTTCTCCTGTGATGCAATGATTTGAAGGCTGGGGATATATTCTGGGATCAACAGATCAAGCCTTGGAAGACTGGTGCAGTCTCAACTTCTGCATGGAAAGAGGAAGAGATTTACAGTGATCAACACAAGGTGAAATGTGCAGGTAAGAGGAACATGCTTCTGCATCACAGTTTGGAGAGCATTTCTAGTCTTTTGGGCAGTCAGTAGCTTTGTTCTGTGTAAGGTCCGCATGAATGAGGAGTGTACGTACTCGGTGGGTACAGTCACTCATTCTAATTGGAATGAGTCTCTGTGACAAAGTGAACGTAGAGAGTGAATTTAATAGCTTCTCTGTGGAGCAAAGCAAAAGTAGTGTTTAGAGAGAGGCAGTATCTGTGGCTTCTATTTTCAGCTGTGACAAACCAACACTCAAGTGGCAGGAGCTTTCTGGAGGAAACTTGCTGGAAAACTAGCTTGTGGATTACGTGATGGAAAAGCCTTCACCTGTTTGCTTAAAAGAAAAATTTAATTCAGATTCTTAGGAAAAAGAAATGTGGCTGTTACATTCAGAATAAAGAGACATTTACTACTTTTTTTTTTGAAGGAAGGTGTGTGGGGAGGAAACCTTAATGTTTACAACACTTGTAAACACATTGCAGAATTTCTTAATTGCAATTGAGAGAAAATGTATTTTGTGCATTGGTAAAGTTGTTTAGATGAAGAGGATGTGAGAAATTAGGAAAGGCTCAAGTAGTTCACTTTGACACATACTTATCCAGTATGTAATGCTCTCATTGTTTCTGTGCTAAGTTATGTTCTCAAAGTGAGCCTAATATCCCTTCCTTAAGTATGGATAATATGGTTTTTCTTTTATACTATTCTGTATGTTTTCCACATGCAGTGCTCTCTTCCATACACTACCGTAACACAGTAGTTTGACAGTAATGTGGTGGTGAGGGTTGCTGTTAATGTCTAAATCTGTCATATTTATAAAAGGTTGTTATGTCTGTTTTTAGGTTTCTCCGGAGCTTTAAGGATAGATAGGCTTCTGCAAGCTTTGCCTTGAATGTGAAACTTGAGATTCATTAAGCCTGAGCTAAGGTGACGGACATTCCCTAAAGCTTTTGTGAGAGCGTTCCTGCTTTGTAGGAGTTGGCAGATGCTGTGTGTGTCATTGTAAAGGCCACTTTGGATCCTGCTGTTGCTGTTTGGAGATCATGCTATCTACAGTGCACTAATGTTATGCTGGTAAATGGGTGCAATACTGAGTCAGTGAAGGATGCCAGCTCTTAAACCATTAGATGAACCTCTTTTTCTTGTCCCGGACCAAACTTCTATATCTGACATGAAGAACTGCTTCAGAAGAATGTAGATGAATGCACCCTTCCCTGCAGTTGTTGAAGACAAGCTACTAGTGGGGTTTGGATGGGGTGTTCATCCAGTTGCTTTATTTTGCATTCTCGGATAATGTATCTTAAGCTAGCATGTGCCTAATTCCCATAAGACAAGGAAAGATGTATTGAAACTGCCCTCCTGTCTTTGAGGGCATGAGTGACTTAAACAGGAACATAGCTTGAATACCTGGATTTTTCTTTTATGCCTGTTGCAGGCTGACCTGGAGAGCCAAGCTGCGGCTGAAAATAGCAGAGGATGCACTCAGTGGCAGCTGTTGCTACAGAAATTGGTTGGTGATCAGTGGTGCCAAGTCTAGTTGGAGGCCTGTAGCTAGCGGGGTCCCCCAGTGATCAGTCCTTAGTCCAGTCCTGTTCAATTTATTCATCAATGACCTGGATGGAGGCACAGAGTGCTCCCTCAGCAAGTTTGCTGATGATACCAAACTGGGAGGAGTAACTGATACCCCAGAGGGCTGCGCTGCCATCGAGAGGAACCTGGACAGACTGGACAACTGGGTGGTGAAAAACCTCATGCAATTCAACAAAAGCTTCATCTGTTGATGAAGTTTTAAGGCAATTTTAGTGTACAGTATAGCTTTCTGTGTAAATATGTGAAGGTCTCCAGTTTGTAATATTTTTCATTGTATTAAGATAAAATAACTATTAGGCATCTAGTTTGCCAGCTTCAAAACTAGTGTTCTGCCGCACTACACTTGTTGATCAAATTGGTGCTAAAATGCAGTTTCTTCTTTTTTTGCTCTGAAGCTGAGTAGTAGGCCCTGTGGCTGAATTTTGGATTTTAATCCTCATGAGATTTCTCATTTTGTTTTTCAAGGGGTGAAGATATAATTTTAAATCTATTTGAAATACTCCATTTCTGTGTGAGGAAGAACTTCTTTACTATGAGAGTGACAGAGCCCTGGAACAGGCTGCCCAGAGAGGTTGTGGAGTCTCCTTCTCTGGAGATCTTCAAAACCCGCTTGGACGCAGTCCTGTGCCACGTGCTCTAGGTGACCCTGCATGTGCAGGGGGTTTGGACTAGATGACCTCTAGACGTCCCTTCCAACCTTAAGCATTCTGTGATTCTATGAAGTACAGGAAAGTGGCATTATTTGCAGGCTTGCAGGTAGCTGCTCTTGGGTTTGGAGTGTCCTGGCTAAGGGCTGCTATGGCCACCCTCATTTTACCTTTCTAGCATTGTGCTCAGAGTGAGTTCTGTGGTTACAGTGGAGTTTAGACCAGATCTCCATGAATTAAGAGAAAGTTTTACAGTCTTTTTAATACTTAACACTTTAAAACATTCTGGTATCTGTTAGCACTGGGGGTTCTTATTGCAGTAGTTCAGCTTTGCCGCCGCACTACTCCCAGTGTCTTCCAAACTATAATCTAACCTTGCATTGCTTAGACCTCTGCCAAGTGAGTTCTGAATAACTACTGTGCTGGTCTAGATTTCTAGACATGTTGCAAGTATTTCAAAACATGCAGGAAATGCTGTATAAAACCCTGTGCAGCACGCAGGAGCTTGTGTCCACCACGGGCTGCCCTAGGTGCAGAAATGCATGACTTCCATTAACCACTACCCATCTGGTGTTTCCCAGTGTCTGCTGCTTTAATAGAATTATGCTAGGCCTAATTACAGCTGCCACTCAGTAGAATGTCCTTTTTGATGTGTATTCTGCTTACAGAAACACAGGAGGAGGGCAGTCCCTCCTGAGGGGGAGGACAGGTGCCCGCCGCGGGTGACTTCGATCCCAGGCGCTCTCAGTGCTCATCCAGTCCTGCCTGGATGCGGGGTGCACTAGTGTCCTAGCACGGCAGTGGCTCCCTCGTGTGTCACTGCTTCAGACCGTGGAATGTGTGTGCACAGGGAACAGATCTGTACAGCACCTTTTACAGTAGTAATATATAGAGCCTTGTTCAAGTGTGCATGATTCCGTGTGTTGTATGATGTTTGTAAATAAATGTTTTAAATCTTTGGCATGTTGTCTTTATGCAAAAGAACTAACATTTAAAAAACTTACTGAGAACATGCTGGCATACAGAAGTTTTTATTTCTAGTAGTACTGTTAGTCTAAGAGCCTTAGTCTTGAAGAGAGTGGACAGTAGAGCCAGGCTTGTGTCCAGTACTTCCAACCATGTCCCCCACCGCGCTGTGTTAGACAGCTCTGCTGAGAAACTGAACCTAACTTGCACATAGCAGGGCTAAGGTAGCTCTGCTGTGTGGCCTCCAGGCTGGGTCTGTCCTCTCTGATGGCCTTGGATGAGTTCAGATGAACATGCTCTAAATTGTCTTAATCCTGCACAAGGCTGCAGGGAATTGCATGTGTAGAGGTGCTGAACCTCTGCTGAGCTTCCAGCAAGTCCTTGGTTCAGGAACAGTCCTGTTTTTCCTAACAGCATCTGAACAAGTGTCAGTGCTCAAATAGCAGCATTCCTGTACAAGCAGACATATTTATGCAGCTGCTGTGCAGGAGATGTATGAGCTAGTACAGTTACAGTAAGGCTAAGGCCAGATAAAGGAGGTGAAAGGCAAACAGTGCTCTGTGTTCCAGTTCTCAGGGTTTGTTGGGTACAGAGCCAGCTCCATTATTATTTATTAGAAACATCTTAAAGTAGGTCTCAGAGGAGAAAAGCAGTTCCCTTGCATACAAGTTGTGAGAGAGGAGAAAAAAACACTAGTGCATGGAAGGGGACTTGCACTCCTCTCCCTGCTTCTGAAAATGCTGCTGATTTAAATCAGGAGCAGTAGGTAGGTGGATGCTTCACACAAAAAGCATTGAAGAGCTAGAAATGATTGCCAAGTACATGCTTAGCAGGAGTCTTTGGGGTATATACATTTAATAAAAGGAGAATACAGATACATTTTGTAAAAGTGAAGTAGTGTAGATATTGGCTGCATTCACAAATGAAAAACATGGATACCTTAGATCTTACTTTATATTACATTGCTTTGCCCAGCGAAGCAAAACAGTTGTGTGTGTGGGGGGGAAGGCAGTCCAGCCTCCTGCTGAGGTTTCAGATTATTTAAAAACCTTTGCAAATTACTGGCCTGGCCCGGCTTGGAGCAGCTTCCAAGGCAGCCTGGCGCAGAACAATTTTTTAAATTATTTTTCCAGTTCTGAAGCTGTTAGTATTCTTGGGACTTTTGTGTGAATGCGCACACTGAAGAAAGACAGGCCTGAGGCAACGCAGTAGGTGCTGCTTGCCAACAACTGAACCTTAGTTCTGTGTTTTTCGAAATTACTGTAGGTGCTGTACAGTGGCAAAATAATAAAATGCTGTCACGGGAGAGGAGCAGAATGAGGTGCTTACCTGTTATTTTTAAGGTTTCGGCTGAAGTGTCATGACAACACCAACTTAAGGTTTTTTTTTTTTTTTCTGTAATGTACTGCCACCAAAAATGGCTCCACTGTTGCTACATCCTGCAAAGCTACACGAGGCTGTGCAAAGGCTGCCTCTGCCCAAGCAAACATGAAATTATCCCTCATGGGGGAACCACTTGTCTAGGAATAGGATTAAAAAAGGGTGGTTGTTTTCTTTAAAAATTGTCTTATTTCCTGTGCCTTGTACTGGAGTGGCTAGTGTGAGTTTTAACAATAAAAACAGGATATCTCTTCATGGATTGTTTTGGCCTTAATCTGGTCCTGCTCGAACCCTGGCCACTCCAGAATGACCACTAGGACGTTTTGGCGCATTTTGTGCTGGATTCCAGCATTTTGCAAGTTAGCAGGATCGGGCCGTGCCCGCGGGAAGCCCCAAGACTCTGCGGTCAGAGCCCGCCCCAGGGAGCCCAGCAGCGCCGCGGCCGCATCCAGCCCTGTTTCCACCGGCAGGACGTTATTTCGCGCCAAGGCCCCTCACGCGCCCCGGCTTGGCGCCAAAACC